ATTGCAGCTTTTTAGTGCTCATAGTAGTAATAGAGCATTTTCAAGGAAAAACGTTAGTCTGTACGCTTGAAGAAAGAGTAGTATGATCTTCAGATATGGAAAAACTGTCTGTAAGAAACCATCAATCCCCTTCTCCCGATACTTGGGGAGGTGTACTGTGTGCAAGTGCGTCAAAAATGGTCTTCAGTGTACACAATTGTGCACATGTGAAGGACATTGTTCTGAGAATTAGTAATTGAATTTGTTTTCTGTTTCAAATGAAAACACTTTTTTTCATTAAAATATTACGCTTTTTACACCAGTTTTTTTTGGGAGGGCGGAGGGGGGGGGGTAAGGGTGTATTTTTTTACAGAAAAACTTCACTAGAACTTTAATTGGATATCTATCTGCTTAAAATCAGTTTTTATGTTCCTACTTAGATGACGTCCTCGATTACGTCATTACTGGGGGTCGGGAAGTTCAAAATTTTTGGGGCCTGGGGCTTTTTTTAATCTTTGGCATATACAGGTGAAGGTGAAGTTATAGGTAAGTGTAATAATAGGCAACAAACTCTAGTTACATTATCCTTATTGTCTAATATTTATACAAATTGAGGGCAAAAACTGCCTACCTCTCATTTTTATTTCGCGCGATGTTGTATCATGATGAGTGCCGAAGCGTTATTGTCAAGACATTTCATAATTCAACAATAATTAGTCAGCGTGCATTTTAGGGATGCGTTTTTTTAGTAGGCGGCTGATAAATATTTTTTGTTAATCTGCAATAATGTTTCGCATGGGGGGAAAGGATATAAATACGATCGCAATCGCGTGGCAGTTATTTTTAATCTGTGTTGTTTTTTTTATATTATGTATTTTAAGTTTGCCTTTTTGATATTTTTTATAATCAAGAGTGTACCAGAGTAGGTACATAGGTATTAGGGAACTAACAATGTTCATCTGTTGAAAATTGAATAAAGTGTCGGAAATTATAGAGCCAATGTATTTTTGCAATATTTGTACGGTTATTTTACAATTTTTTTTTTTTTAAGATAACATGTTATATACCAATCGATAGGAAATTTTATTTTCTTTAAATCAGGACATTTTTCCGAAAAAATAATATTTTCTGAGAAAATTGAGAAAAACTAAAAAATGCACCTTTGGGGGTGGTTTTGGGGGTTGTTTTTCAAAAGGGATCCCCGGGCCTTCACCCTATCTTTATTTCTAGTTTCCCAGTAAAGACTTTTTGGGCAAAGGCCAAACTTTAACACGCACGGTAACTCACACTATAGGATTCATACCTACTGCTACGTCTACCTATGTATGAATGAAAAATGTACTATTGTCGTCAGCACACGTGCGTACACTTTTTAACCTGTTAAAACAAAACGACGAGTGCCTCAAAACAATGTTATTATATTAAATTCAATTCTACGAGGATTGTTCAATAGAAACACGTTTGATCTATGCAGCCTTGACCTGGTCGTCATGGCAACCGAATTAATTTGTTTAAATTGTTTGCTGTATAAAGCGTCTGACAAAACTATTTGCAGTTTGCTCTTTTCTAAGCGTTGGGACTGCGTTTGAAAATGGCCATCCATGGTAGAAAATCCATCCAAAGACAACTTGCGTGCGGTTATTTAATTTTTGGCCGCTGAATGACGTCAGCCAACGAAAATTTATACGAGAATGAAAGCTCTATATGCGATATACAGACACTCTGAAACGCTTACGGGTCAGCATCAAGAATAAACGTCCCGGGAAGCTCACAAATGGTGTCATTCTTCTGCATGATAATGCCCGACCACATGTAGCCCAGCCGATTCAAGACCTGCTTTGCTTAGTCGCATGAAGTGGGAAGTCTTACAACATCCGCCTTACAGTCCCGATCTGTCACCTTGCGATTACCATGTTTTTGGGCTTTTGGCCCATTAATAAAGCAATTACTAAAAGGACGGCGGTTCAAATCGGACGCTGAGGTAGAGTTAGCGGCACAGACATAGTATATGTTGTCTGTGTTAGCGGTTAGAGAATGGTTCCCTAAGCAGCCTCAAGAATTTTACCAGCACGGAATTTACAGATTAGTACAACAGTGGGATTCATGCCTTAATGTTAATGGAGAGTTCTTTCGAAATCGTTGAATAAAAAATGTTGTACAGCCTCTAAACGTGTTTCTATTGAACAATCCTCGTATAATACTAATACCAAATAAAACTAAATTAAATATGTGAATATTCGTTTTGCTCACTCCTTTATGGTACTCTAATGAAAGGTCTCAACGAAAGGAATTAATTTCTACCAACCATTACCCTCCTCCTTGACCTCTTATCGTGATCGGGTATATTGCCCAACCTGACCTTTTTTGCGCTAGATTTTATCCATTTAGCCTTTTTTTGCGATTTTAGGAATTTATTAAAGCATCCAATACATTCGGTATAGTAATGCCCCTTTCTTTCACAACAGGTTTCTGCACAGTCTAGAAAAAATGGTTTAGAATAAGGTCGTGTATACCGGGTGATTCTCAAAAGTGGCCCGCCTGTTCAATTGTTTTTATTTTGACACCTCCGATTTAGCCGCAAGAGTGGAACATCCTGTATTTTTGTTTGCATCGATACAACATGAACATTCTGAGTACACTGTCACTTTTTATCAGATGGTGATTTCCTATTTTTTTTTCTTATCTAAAGTGCTTTGAATCATTCAAAAATTGTGGATACCCATGTGATGAAAGGACCTACGAAAAATGGATTTTGTAACAGACGCATAATTGAATTTTGAATAATCATTGAATGATCATTATTTTACTTTTAATCTTTTTTTTTCGAATAGAAATACTAAGCTCATTTCGTTATTAAAAACGAGGATTTTTCTACCACACATATTTTAATACCACATCGACGACTTTAAACGGTTAAAAACAGTGTAGACAAAAAATAAAAATGATAAAAGTAGACCACCTGCCACAAAGTGACGATTGAGATGTCATTTTGTATCGAAATAAATTTTAAAAAAACAGGCTAATTTTATTGCTTGATTCCTCATTGTTCCTCCACATTCGTCAACAGAAAAATGCCAAGGAAGCGTGGGATAGTCTTCTAGGGACGTATGAGGACACCTATGTATTTTTTATGATATTTTTAGCTTTGCAAGTCGCAAGTTCGTAACAGTAAATAATTATCCTAAACTTTTACTCAATTTTTTTGGCAACCATTTTTAGAAAGTTGTTTACAGAATATGCCACACCTAAATATGGACGTTTACTGAATCCAAGATACCCATTATAGCTCTTAATTTACAATTACTCCTCAAGCACACACGAGTTTAACCCTATAGGTAAAGGGTGTAGGAGAATCTAAAAGCTTTTCTATAAACAGCATTCTTTGTACTGGAAAACTATTAAAAATGGTACATGTTCTTCAAACGTGCCGACTTGTGCTCTTTATCGAAGCCCACGTCGATAAAAAACAGCTGAAAGCGTAAGGTAGAACGCATGGAATTCTAATTGCCATCATAATTTGGGAATTCCAAAGTAATGTGCTCCCAGTGAGGTTATCATATGCGTTCTTGTTTTTGTATCGTAAGTATCGCCATGCGCATTTCGTTTATTTAGTTTAGAGTGTTTTTTTAGGTTTCGGTTGTGATTTGTTGTACTGTAATTCCCATCGACAACCGCTGCTTCATCTACGATTAGTCCTAATATATAAGAGGTAGGTAAATTCAAAGAGAAGGGGTTACCTTTGATTTCTTTTAGGGTTCAAGTGCCAAACACGTTTTACGTTACATACTGATCCTTGCTCGGCGTGTAGGTTTTCTAACCTGCTGATAGCAAACGGTCATTTCTCTGTGAAAACCGTATCAGAAATAGGCTCGGCGTGTAGGTTTTCTAACCTGCTGATAGCAAACGGTCATTTCTCTGTGAAAACCGTATCAGGCAGAAATCTTAAGCTCGATCTTAACTATCCCCGTATGAAATTGAGAAGATACGAGGGTAGGAATAACAGTAAAAATCAATTTAATTATGCGAATTTAACTTCGCCAAATTTAATTCCTGGAGCTGCAATTGAATAATGGCAATCGATTTGCTGTCACCATTTTACCAAAGCCTCGTAACAATAAACTCCCGTAAAATTATTATAAGGAAGAAACGTGATCCTGAGTTTTGTGCTGCCCTGCTTCAGGAGGTTAACCCCCGAAACTTAACATTTAAGCACCTCTTCCCTAAGTCATGACCTATCCGTGTACCCATCGTAGATATATGCTGGTTTATGTGACAAAGCGCTTTTGAGGCATGCGCCGGCCGTACGTTTACACTTTTTGGCGGTATTGATAAAGTAGCTACTCGCAATACTAATGAAGATCAACCAAACTGTTTTTGGAATGCACATCCATTAATCAATCGCCATGATCAATACCTACTCAAATCGGGTCAATTTGTTGGATTTGCAAATGCATCTTTATTAAATGAAATCTCCAAATTCAAAATGCGGTTTCAATCTAAACTTAATTTAGATTACATTTTCCACATAGAATGGTAGTTAAATTTAGGTAAATCAGATGTGCATCATAATTTGAAGGTTTTCCATAGTTGAGCATTATGGAAAAAAAATCATTAGGCAAAGGCAACTAAACTACTCCGATTGACCTAATCGAAAAATTTGCATAGCATATGGTATTTACAAAAGTTTTAGAAATGTTGAATGGAAAGAAAATAATAAGTTCTTTTCACAGGGTATGCGAGTACGACGTACGAAGGAAATTCCCACACAGCACACCCGTTGACGGAGTTCCCCCAAGAAAAGGTGCGCAGCGGTAAATGACAACATGTCTAAAATATATGTAAATTTAAAAAGGGACCACAAGGGATTTAAAAGGAAAGTTCGAGTTTAGGGTTGCTTTGTTCCATTATTACATAAACGAGTCGTCTTTGGATTCACTTTTAATGGTGGGAGAAACCGATATGTTTCACGTAATGGAGGGGCCGTCTTAACTATATATAAACTAAGCAGATTTCCCAAAAACTAATCACAGATAGGTAGTTGTTGCTGTTAGTTTGTTGTTGATGTTAAATACCCGAGCGCCTTAGGGCGACTCCGGTTTTTGTTTTTGTTAAGTTTATGTTTGCTTGTCGCAGTCGTGCCTCCAATACTTCGAGTGACGTGCACCAGGTAAGATCTTTTAATAATACTCGATTTTCTTTGTTCGTTTTACGACCACATATGATTTTGCTAGAATTGGAAATCACTTTCAAACAACTCAAACCAATTCCGGCAAGAATATACCTTTTTATTTCAACTCGGTGTCCGCTTATAACAGAAAACCCACTTTCGTCCTTTCTATGTATCTGACAAATCCAACGAAATCTTACATGCAAACTATTTTCTCTAGACGAACAAAAACACAGTATAACCTTTGAAAAAGAGCCAAATCCTAAAATCAATCTCAACATGGAAATATATTATTTTTATTTCGTTGTAATTCCAAGTTCTCTATAAATAACACATGCACCTCACCTCAACAGGTGTGTAAATCGTGTTTAAATATTTTATGTTCCCCTTCAATAAGGGAGACGTACCTGTGTCTACACATCTACCCTTCGGCATCAACCCTTTGGGTCATGAAAACACTTCCTGGTAAACAAGAGTGTAGGTAAATTTGTTTTGCATGCCTCTAATTTCTACGCAGCATCCCTCGATAATATCATTTCTCTCCTTTTAATTTCCTTTAAAAACGCTAGTTAATATCCTGTTGATCATGACGGTAAAATTGGAAACTTTCTTTCAGATGGCGAAGAATCGAGCCGTGGGACATTATTTGTGATAACAACCGTTATCGGCTATAGTTATGGAAAGGAAATCAGCTATATCAAGTATGGGTTTAATTGTTTACGTTGAATTTTTGTTTGTTATTAAGTTTGGCGTTCTATTCGTTAGATGAATGCAGATCCGGTTCAAAACGGATATTTTGATAAAATGTTGTCCCTTCATTGTTAGTTGTTAGCTTCGTTTTTTAGCCCATTGTTTAAGTTTTTGTTTACGTCGTCGTTCTTACAATATGAACATATCTACAATTGATAAAAGTGTTCAGTACACATGACCCGTTCTAATTGTTAACGTGCTGTCACCAAGCTCTCATTGTTGCCACCCCACAAAACCTGGATTAGAATCAGACTTTACCTACCGAATTTTCGAGCAGCATTATGTTGTTAAGTTTACGTTATATCTGTTAAAATCCTTGTTGCCGCATTTTTGAGTTTTTGTTTGGAGACTATTCTACCACAGCCACAGATCACAGGCTGAGGCCTTAGTAGAATTATTGTTTTTGTTACGTTTTAGTTTCATGCAAAAAAAAAGTTAAATTCTTATTATAAATAAACTCATACATATTAGCTGTTGTGGGACCACGACAGATAATTAAGAAAAAAAGCTGTTAAGTTTTTGTTATTGCCTAAAAAATTTGAAAGGGATCTCTTAGATCATAAACACATTTAAATACCCTTAATGAGAAATTTACGTTAGTAACATGTTTAATTGGATTCTACAATCTCTTTACTATAAATAGAACAACGAACCACATAATATTCAGGAAACGTAATTAGAAATTAATAAGGTGGTTTATTCGTATCCTTTATTAGATTTAAGACCATATCTTTTACTTTTATAGTTAGTTTGCGTGGGCTTTTATTAGACGTAATTAATTTTAAGTTACTTTTTAATTAAAATGTCAATTAAGGATGAACGCCCCGGTGCGGTGGCTTTAGGTATGAATTGTAGTTCATAATTTAGTGTTAAGAGTTTAATGGTTTCCGTGTGCCTTAAATTTTTGTGTGGCTTCTGCAGTTAATTTATAAGGAATGTGAAGTTGTGCCTTTTCCGACCCAGATTGTATATAAAACAGAGATCTGGATGATCTGTAACACTCTGTTTTACATAAAATTGTACTGAAAAGGGCAGAACTGGATTGTTATACTGTTAATTAACCTTTAATACTTTTATATTGAGCTGTACACTTGAAATAATGTACAATACTAGACCCCATTTACTATACGTAGTGCACTTACAGGTTATGACAGGCGAGAGTTAAAGATAAAGTTGTTGTTGACTGTTTCTGTTAAGTTTTTATTCTTTTATTTTATTGTTGAGTTTTAGTTCTGTTATTTTTCATGTAAATATGTACATACCATTCTGTAAATAAAGAGTGCGGCTTTTTGCATTTTTATGTACTGTGTTTACTTTAAAAGAAGTGCTTAACATTCAAACATAATTCACCTCATACGTTTTCTCATTGCAAGTGTTACAGAATTAAACTAAAACTTAAAATAATTGTTTCATACTAAAGAAATGATTATGTGATCGGTTTTCGTTAATGATAGACGACACTGGTCCTATAGAGTCTAGAAAGTCCATCTAATAGTTATTTATTATACAAGAAGATAAAGGGATATTTTAACCATTGAGTGAAAGATGTTAATTCACGAGATGGTTAGTTTCCCTTTATCGTCGTGTATAATACAAAACTTTATTTTATAGCACAAGCCATATATAAATCATTGCAAAGCTTCTGACAATCCTGAATTTTATTTAGAGACGTCAAAAATAGTAACCTTAGGTTCTTTCGTCGTAATCGTTTCTATAGAAACAGAATTGTCATATATTCTGAACGTCATTTTATAACGTGCATTTGAAATAAGAATGACAGATGTCACTAGAATGCACAACCCTTTGTTTCACTTGATCTACTCTTACGGTTAAAGTGATCACTTTATCACTATCCTTACGGTTAAAATTAATGAAATTTCAACTCAGCCATTCAAATGAAAATAGCACCTTTTCGGACCCGATGCGAAAACTGGGCAGGTTGCAAACGTTCACAAAATACAGTATCGCGACATCTGTAAAATTGAAGCCCTTGTGCTCCAATGCATCACCATACTACATGGGGGAGCGCTACAACGTCAACCCTAAGGGCGTTTGCTCACTATGCGACAGCGACGCGATTTACCGCATGCGGTGTGTGGTTCCGATATCGCATGAGGTAAAATTACATTTAATTAATGCAAAGCTTGCACACCAACTGAGCTGGGGAGGGTGATTCGAATCATTTTGGAGGATCCGAAGGCAGGATTCGAATACAATATAATTAGAGGATTCGTGATCTGGATTCTTCACACGTTTAAAAAGGATTCGTGTTCGTATCCTTTCTTCTTTCATGAGAGAGGATGTATTCCCGTGCATTTGCGCAATAACGAATTAGCGTTTTTCTTCTGATGCATGTTTTGCATTTGCGTATGTATTCAATTCATTAATAATTACATACGTTTTTGTTGTAATGGTCTTTTTCACTAAAGTAGGTATTATCTAAATTTCTGTTTTGTAGTTGTGTTGTGTGTGTATGTCTAGATAAATTGAATTAAAACTGTTGAGGTATTTGAAAGATAAAACACGCAAATATAAATAGCCTGAATGAATATTCGCGACTAACAAAATTATTCATGTAATTTAATACACCGAACGGCGGTTTCGATGCGAAGAGGAGTCGAGGGCTTCTCAACGAAGAATGGGGCGAGTTCTGCGCGACGAGTACAAATTTCGCTTCTGCGGGTAGTGCGCGCACACGTAAGAAGTAGGAATATATACAGGCACGGGCAAAATGGTTATGTACAGGGTATTTTCTTTAAAAGAAAAGCGAAAGGATATTTTATTTTAGTTTGGGGACGGAACAGTCATTAAATGGCAAATAAAATTAAAAATGGTCCCCACAATAGGATAGCGTAATTTCAAATGTTCAAAATTATGAGTTAGGTATGTTACACAACAATCTTGGAAACTAGACTTCACCATTGAAATATACCAGTTAAACAAAACTCTAATCAAGAATGATCGATTAAATTGATTACTAGATCTTACAAAAAGTGTCCACCAAGAAATTCATGTTCCGAACACAAATGGGCACGTATAGGCCAAATACAAGCAAAACATAAAAAGGCAACGCTTACTTTAACGTAACTTAGATGTCATCCAGAGAAGTGAGCTCAGCTCCCGGATTCATAATAAACCTGCAAACAAAAGAAAACTCCCAAGCCACAGAGCTGAGAATGCAATGAACTGAACAATGCCTAACCCCTCGCCTAACTTGTAGTAAGCTTCTATCACAAGTACGATACTCGGCCAACCTCTCCACTGTAATGAATTTTTTTGTAGAGTGACATTAGCCAGTGTAGTCAAAAAAATTACACAAATTTTCTTCAAGCCGTTATGGCCTTTTTAAACTTTTGACTCGCTCAAGAACCCTGAAGATTGTAACGGACCTAACCCAAAATAGGGCGTTTGCGATTCCCCATGCAAACCTCTATATACATTCCAAATTTCATCAAAATCGGTTCAAGCGTTTTTGAGTTATCACATAAAACGAACCATATATTTATTTATTTATTATTTATTATCCCTCTCTGGTTCTGAGTTTCTTTGATTCAAAATGATGGCTAAAGTAGAGCAAGTTTCATGTTACGGAAAATTTTGGGAAATGGCAACATGTAAGGTCACGTTGATAAAATAAGTGGTTCCCCATATTTGTCCAAGTAACTGTTGGCGTGCATTTATGTAATACCAAGTAATTTTTTTTTAATTACTGTAATGTAATATGATTTGTTAACGATCCTCGAGATCGTTTATAATTTTGTATTTGCTGTCTGTCTGTGTGTCCGTCTGTCTGTCTGTCCGTATGACCGTCTGCCTGATTGTCCGTCCACCTGTCTGCCTGTCCGTCCGTCCGCCTGTTTGTCCACCTGTCTGCCTGTCCGTCCGTCCATCTGTCTGTCTGCCTGTCTGTCCGTGCGTCTGTCTGTCTATCCATCCGTCTGTCCTTCTTCAGGATATAAGAAAGGTCGCTATTGTTTTTTTATCGTCGTGTATTATATAAAACTATTTTATAGCAGAAGCCATATTATATAAATCATTGTAAAGCTTCTGACAATCCTAAATTTTATTTAGAGACGTCAAAAATAGTAAGCTTAGGTTCTTCCGTCGTGATCGTTTCTATAGAAACAGAGTTGGTGAACGTGATTTTATAACGTGCATTTGAAATAAGAATGACAGATGTCACTAGAATGCACAACCCTTTGTTTCACTTGATCTACCCTTACGGTTAAAGTGATCACTTTATCTATCCTTACGGTTAAAGAATGGCTTAGCCTACTCATTCAAACCTATTAAAATGTCTTGTCTGTCCGTCCGTCTGTCTGTCTGGCTGTCTGTCTCTCTGTATGCCTGTCTGTCCGCCCGTCCGTCTGTCTGTCCATATGGATATGTCCGTGTGCACGATAACTTTGTGTAGAAACGCCCGAACACATGTTCTACCCATGCTGATCTGGTGGGATCAGAGACTTGCTATAACTAGACTGCGCTTAACGTATCTAAGGTGTTGTCGACACAGTATGCAACACACAATGCACCGCGGGGCAAAAATCGCTGAGATGATATGCAATATAATGAAATAAGCTGTTATTTTAGATGTTCCGTTCATTAATCATTCTCGTGATTAGCTCGAATTAGTGAACAGATAAATTTCTGTTGAGAATAAACCAATAAACTTAGGTTAACTTGTGCCTATCAACATGTACTCTGTCGATAAATTTTTAAATAATATGCTGATTTTCAACGGATAAAAGTTTAAAGGGCCAATGGATCAGAGCCATTCGAAGAGAAAAATTTACTCCCACCATAGTGCATTTGCGGGGAATGAAGCCGATTTTAGAAAGGTACCTACGAAGGTGTTAAACAATAATGCAATACCGAGCGTTTTCGACTTTCCCATTCACTTAAAATAACGTAGAACTATTCGACATCCTTTACCAGCAAGACAACGGCAATTTGCCTATTAGGTATAGACGTAAATAAGTACTTAGGTACTGGTACTGAGTATATTTCAGGTTTTCTACAAAAAAAAATAGCTAAGTCTGTTAAATGTTCCATATGTGCAGATGCGATATTCGCATCAGAGAGTCATTCAAAGCTTTTAACTAGAAAAAATCGTGGAGGATTGTTGCACGTATCAAGCGATGTATTAAAAATTTTCCAAATTGCTGAAAATGTGTTCAGGTTTTTCATTCAATCCACACCACACCGCGTTGTAAACAAAATGGTTATCAGCAGTCTAAGAAAAATAAATAACAGTTACAGCCCATTTGGGTTTTTGAATAGGCATATATTGAATCAAAATCCGCTAAATAATCATATCTTACTACCTACATCTTTAGTTTTAAGAGTATATTTTTCCATACGTGTTCACCACCAAAATACACATATAAATCAAATTAGGACTAGAGTAAGGCAGTTATATACCAATTTAGTTCAAATAAAATACCAATAAATTCGATTAAAACAGTTAACAGCTATATGTTATCTTTTTTTGCTACTAAAATTTAGAATAAACATGGCTAAAGCAAGCTGCAGAACGTACGTCTGCCCCGCGATGAACAGTTGGTTGCCTATCCTATCTTGACAACAGGCGTTTATAGTAAAATCTACGTTACGCGCCGTCTAGTTATAACAAGTCTCTGGGTGGGATAGAATCAACCCCTTAAGGTATATTGTAAAAATGATGTACGTGTGAACATCTCGAGAATTGTTCGGTAGGTATTCAGTTGGTTCGGATTTAGATTAGATATAGTAGGTACTGTAAATACTGGTAATGTCTGCAGCTACTCTACTCAACATTTTACAGGTCGGGGTCAAAGAGATGCCGCGTGTGAATTTAAATAGGAAAAATGCGTTATAAGTTATCGTTATTCGCATGTACATATTGTGTGAAGATGCAATACAATGTGTGCTCATATAGATACCTACTGGTTTTTGGCCCTTGCACAATTTTATTTATTTTATTTTTGGTCTTTATTATTAAGAGCGGGGTGTCAGTTCGGCCAAGGGTTATAATTAAAAGGAAATTGCTGTTCTGTATATCTCAGTCATTGACCGATGGTACAAATACAAGCACTAAATGTAAATGTTTATTGGTGCCCAGTTGGAAATAGGTATCAACCTACCTCTCTGCCAATTGCTTCATTTGGTTCTATGCAGTGGACATAATGACAACACACTCATAGTTTCCCTTACCTATACCTATCAACTGTATGTATTTGACCTACAGAACACTTACCGAAAGGGGTATTGTGTAATTGTGTAATTTTCAATAGCAAACTATTTTATACAGTCCAAAAATCT